CCTTTAGGATCTGGGGCCTGTGTAATGCTGACATGCTCATACCCACCCAGATCTGAGAGGATCCCCTCATGCTTTTCCAAGCACTTGTAGAGGCATGGTGCCTGGCCCCACCTCTGCCAGACATCTGGCCTTTTCCAAGACCAACTGGTCTTTTCCAAGACTGTATTTATGAGATCTTGTCTTGCTTTCTATATCTCTTGAGCAGCTGGACGCACATGCAAAAATAATGTCAGACAGGGTTGTCCAAATCAATAAAAAATCAATAAGAAAATCAATAAGAAAATCAATAAAAAAAATCAATAAGAAAATCAATAAGAAAATCAATAAAAAATCAATAAACAAATCAAGAGAAAATATTGATTCTAATCAATATGAGAAAAATCAATATCTCAGAATCAATAAATATTGATTCTAATCAAGATACGATGCTCAGGGTCATTCCTGGAAAAAACTAGATCCAAGCATCCGGATAGCTGCAGCAACTCGTCATCTCGAGTTCACTGTCAGCCTTTTCCGCTCCGGATTCCACAAGAACTCTCTTCTTGTCTTCCATACTGAGTCGGGAACCACGAAGGATGATGTATGCTTGTACCTCGGACATATTGACCTTCTTCATCAACATTTCTGTCCAGACCGCTTCCGACCGGGCAATGTACGAATCTGCACTTTCGTCGGGCTTCTGGGCACACCTGAACAATGCTTTTTCAACTATATCGAATTTCTGTTCCAGATTCACCTGGCCGAACTGGCCGCCAACGATCTCTACGATCTTGGAGATGCTCTCAACTGTTCCTACGTAATTGGAGCTTTGCGAATGCTGAACCTTTACAATTCAATATAATTCGTGTTGCAAGCTCTGTCAACTTCCCTTCAGGCCAAACTTTCGTGAGGAGCTCGATCTTTTGGGACCATTGCTCGACGTTGTCGGTGGCTGGGTCAAACGTTGGGATCAATGATGACAGCTGATTGCTAGCTGAAGATGTACCACTTTCCAATGTTGCTGAACTCGTGGACTCTGGCATGATCACACCTGTTCGACAACACTGCTATCGTTTGGACTTCCCTGTCTGATCGCCCAGGTAGCTCCGCTACCAATCTCGAATCCACTAGGATTTCGGATTGGTAACCGCGACCGTCCGGTGATGGGCTCACAGAAATAAGATGCAGTTTCCCTGAAACTAGTGAATTCCAATGAATACCTGAAGGTCCGACCTTCTCCAACACCAAAGTGCCCTGCACCCTTCCTCCGCAGCCTTTTCCTCCTCGACGCCCTGCGTCACCCCTGGTCAACGATGGCTCGAACTGCAAACCACCCTCCCTCCCTGGGGGTGAACAAGCAAATGGCCGCAGGACAACAGGCTCGAAACATGTGACGTGCAGACCTCTGGTCGTTTGACAGAATCTATAATTTATATGTATGTATACATACAGTACACGGACGGACGGACGGATACCCATAGACAGGTGGACAGACAAACAGACAGACAGATAGCTAGCTAGCTAGGTAGATAGATAGATTGATTGATACATTGATAGACTGATATACAATTCTCCCCCGTGGTACCTATACTTTTCGTAAATGGAAGTACTGAGTGCAACTACCAAGGGAAGGACCACACATGTGTGCACATCACAGAATCAACAATAAATGTTTGGAGCATCAAGATGAACTATATGCTATTTCTTTCTGCCATGACGTATCTGCTGCTTATCTGCTTGTAAGGACCTGAAGCAAACCCCCACTGAAACCAAAATCTATCCAAACCCAAAAGCCTGGAAAGGCACCACCAAAACAATCCAAACCAATGAGGGCCTGCAAAAATCTGTATTGGTCATAGGTCCTGAGATGGGCCTGAAAACTCTGTTGTTTTGGTGTCCTCTCGAGGTTTTTGCAAGCCCTCATTGGTTTTAGCTGTGCTTGATTTGGATTGGCTTCATGGGTATTCTCAAAAGGTTCTAGTGACACTGCGTGTAAGCAGTTGTAAGAACAATACCTTTTGAAATGGGGAAGTGCGTAGTTTGATGTTCATCTGGTTGATGTAGAGGAGTTACAGTAGTTAGTTCATGTTCATTCGTTGCAATGAGTAGCAAACTGTCATTGCTGCATTTCGAAGAAACTGCATGAGTTCAGAAGATTGTATGGGCAAATTTTGCGTAAGCAAAGTAAGCATGGCAATCTGAGTACGCCTACTTTAATGTGGTAGCGGACAGTGGGAATTTGATGTTTACCCTTACGAACATGGTCATGCAGCAGCACACCAGACTCTGGTTGGATTGCCTTTTTTGCTGTATGAAACTACTGGAGCACTCAACAGCATCTACATCAAAGATCTGGACAGATCCCACCCTACAGGGAGATAAGGAGCAGCATCGTCAAGTAACACCTTTCCATGCAAATTAAGCAGCTGTTCAATTTGATGATTGGATTGCTGTAAGGACTAAATTAAGGGCTGGGTTCAACACCTGCCAGCAACTGGAGGAGTGATGCAAGACTCGCCTCCACTTGCAAGAACCATTTGCAAGACGTGTCAGGTCGCAAAAAGCCGGTCAAGCCGCCCCCCGCAGGTATTCGGTCGGGTGAAGAACTTCTCCCCATCATTCCATCATTGAAAGGTAGTAAGTCTACAAGAGCGATGGGAGGCAAAGGTGGGCGGAAGACTTGGGAGAATGCAGATTAAAAGCTGCCTTGAAGTAAGCAAGGGGGGCGGATCGAACGGCGCAGTCTCATGACTGGGCGTTGAGAGCCAGCAACATGCAGTGAGTCTCATCCTGCACCTGCAGGTATTTGCGCAACTTCCTGAAGAAAAGTATGTCCGAAGCGTGAGTCGAGTGACATGTATTGTAAACTGAAGAACACACCTGAGACCTACATTCAGCAAAGGCACCACACATTATATAAACGTATGAATTCCGATGCATACGCAGCATGAAGGGGCCTCAATAATGCAAAGGAAGGAGCTCTGGCTCTTTGTAGATTAGAACTTAGAACAAGTTGATTCACCATGTTGATTCGCAGCTTCAGATTTGTGAGGCAAACGGTTTCATGCACACTGCCTTTGTTGCATGCCACGACCCCTTAATTCCGAGCAGATGTGTTCTTTGATGACGCGTTTGTTCAAAATATGTCAACAACTTCAATTGTTCAAATCATGTCAAACACCTGAACACCTCCATGAAGAGATTGTGTGTAATGTATATGAATACCTATATGTTCTGTGTGTGGACGTATACTGTACTGTCTGTGCCTAGTGGGCCAATGAAACAAATCTGAATTACGCAGTATTCAGTCTCCGGACTCCATCGGCCTTGTCCGCAATCTGTTTCGTTGGCCCCAAGCCAGTGGACTGGGCTGGAGGGTGCATAGCTGGCCTCAAAGGGTTGCTGAAGTTGCGACTCAAACATTATTCCACCTTCCAAAGCCACTCCACAACCAGAAACAATTGAAACAATTCTATTACTATAAGCAAGAACATGTGCAACATACACCGTTGGCGATCAGGTGGATTGGGCGACATCTTGCTTTGGGATTGGATGCATAAGCACTTTGAAGTGCTGCTGAATTCGGCCACCTATTGCTCCTGGTAGCGTCCTTGCTCCTAGTAGTACGGCCAGGAGCCCCTAGTAGCTTCTGTTTTAAGTTTTAAGTGCAAGTTGTAGTAATTACAAGCTACAAAAAGTACTGCTTCCGGGTCTCCCCCTATCAGCAAGACATTCGGCAATGGAAGGAAAGCATCCATTGTACGAGAGAATTTATCGGCCCAAGGAAAGCATCGTTGAGGGTCTAGGGTCTAGATTCTCTTTTCGCAGCATGTGTAGCAGTGCAGTATGGCCCAGTTCTGTTCCTGTTACTGGAGTTTGAATGGTCGTAAATCGGACCATACCTTGTCTATTGTCTACCTCTGGATTGCCACCAACCTGAGTGGTTGGCAACGCGTGTGTTGTGCTCTCAAGGTGTTACAGTCAGAACCTATGAAGCACACAAACAATGTTCAAAGCATTTGTGTGCGCAAACAAGTTGATGCACGACTCTCTCTCTCTCTGTCTCAACTATGTGGTTTTCGATACAAACGGAGGAGCCTTTCAGCTGTTATGGACGACTGCGTGGGGATGAACACAACAAAACAGCATGAACATATGTTCCGCTCAAACCCTTCGGCGTGGGCAGCACATGAAATGGCAGTAGTCCCAGTGACAGATTCTGCTCACATCTCCTTTGACCAGTCTTTGGCCTATCGTTAAGCCGTACACATGGCAGCAGCAAACCACGCGCCTGTGAGTAGTCATCGGAATATGACCTCGCCCTTCCCGCTGACGACAGCGGAGTTCCAAAAAGGGAAGACAAACTCAGCCGGCATGGAACTGACAAAAACTGAAACAATCCAACCGGCTGTCAGCTGTCTATGGATGTCTATGTCGTATTGTAGAATTGGAATCCATCAGCTCAATGAATATGCGGAATCTTCAAGAAAACAGGTGCGACAAAGGCTACAATATCAACAAAATATGGAGCGTGTATGTCTATAGTCAATTTGCTTTAATTTGTTTACAGACTGCCGTCACACCTTTTGTGCTGGTCAAGCAACAACTCTACATAGCTCACAGCCATACTGACCTCAGAAGTTTCAATACATGCCTTGATGGCTCAAACCAAGTCCACCTATTTGCCTCTTCAAGGCATTTTTGGTTGACCCACATCACATCCACATGATGTTCATACCTGTCACATTGAGTCCGACCTGGAGACATTTAAGATTGTACCGCGAAGTGCACAGGTACTTTTCAGCCAAAAGAGGGTCTTCGGTAGTGTACATGTTTCCATGCTGCTATGTCATGTCGAGTGCAAAAAGATCAGGCTTATCCCGAATGCACTCCCCCTTTGAACTTCGTTCAAAGCTCATGTGGGGCTTACTCGGCCAGTGGCCACTTCTTCCTATCACATGGGTATTGCTTGCGCAAAATCCGGTGTGCCTTTTGGCACCGGCTCAAAACCCTCATGCTTCTCAGACGTCATAGGTGTCCTCCTGCGACGCCCCGGACTCTGAAGCCGTCCGCTTCACATCTCGCAGGCCAATGACATCCCAGTCATTGAGCGAGCTTCGATCATCTGCAGTCATGTCGGAGGGCGGCTGCACTCCGCGCTCCACTGGCGCACCTGGAAGGCCTTGGCGGGCCATGGTTCCCAGCACAATTCTGCCCCTTTCATTCGAACCTCCCTGCGCATAGCCAGTCCTCAGGTTCGGTGGCAACACCGACTGTGATCGCTTTGCTGGCTGCCATGTTGCGCAATCGTTGACTCCAGAGTCGAGTAATTCGTTGTCGATATGTGGGCATTGTAGAGATGACAATGTCCCACTTCCGCTTGATTCCCTAGTAGGTGCCGGGGTGGCCACGTAGCACGGAACACCTGGTTGCGCCTCTCCACCAGTCGGGGTAGATCCCAGTGTCAATGTCAATTTCAAGCGCCAGCCTCAAGCCCTCTGCAGACTCCGAGCGCTCTGCCGGTGGCATAGGGGAGCGCTTTTGCGATCCTTTGCGGTCGCTTCCCATCTCCCTTTGCGCCCAAGCCAGGCCGTGGTCCCACAGCCGCTGAGCTTGACGCCGATGCCGTACTGGTCGTTGTAGTTTGGTGCTCTCATTTCTTGTGGTAGGCGCATATGCGTCTGGCGCTTCCGGATCGTCTTGGAAGCCCTGGGGTCGCTGCGCAGTACATAGTACGATGGCGCGGAGGTTCCCCGTCGTGGATCGTGGATTTCAAAGAAGGCGTACCCCGTCCATCGTCCTTCAACTTTGTTGTCTCGTCGCTCTTCTCGAGTTGGTGGTTCTATCCCCCGCAGCAGTTTGCACCACGATGTCCTTCGCTTTGTTCCACTCATCCTCAGACTTAGGGCTTCTGAGAATATGCATAGCTCCTGAATTTAAGAGCACTCCACCACCTTCCATCGACACTTTCGCCACCAATGCCCTGATCGCCGGCTTTTCCACCCTCACTGACCGCAACATAGCGCCACCACCACTCCCTCCAGGTGCCCCAGCAACTGTTTTCGTAGTGGTTTCACCTCCTTGTTCACTAGCATGGGCATCAGTCTTATTGATTTGAGGGTTGGATTTGTTCTTCCCCTTGCCCTTGCCCTTCTGGCCTCCACCACTATAATGGGTTTTGAGCTTGTGGACTTATAGTATCATTTACAACCTATGTATATAGGGTTATAACATGGGTATCCTATGGTTATAAATGGGAAAGTTGTGATAGTTGATATATATGTTGGGGCACACTTGCAAATTAAATAGACCAACTTGAGAACTTATAACCGCCACATAGGGCAACGTAGCAAGTTAACTTACGAGCGTTTGTAAGTTCTGCTAAGTTCTGCACGATGGCATGAACAAAAAATGCTTGTTTTCCACCGTCGGCCTTTGCTTGGTTCAAATGGTGTGGCTCGCCCACCTGTGTGCTCGTGGCTGTGCGCATGTGGCTCGCCCATGCAGAAGCTCGCGCGCCATGACGGAACGCGGGAAAGGTAGCGTGAGGGACGCGCACATGGGGCCGTTGCGGCTGCCAAATGGGCAGGGCACCTTGACGGCCTCTGACAGACATGAAATCTGGAGGAGGTACAAAGTGTCCGCCAGTGTGCGGTACCGCCAGCAGTGGGGCGAAAGATGTTTGTCGCTCTCTGGGGAGGCAGGAAATTTGAACGCAGCTCGCGACTATGCCCTGCAGAAGATCGATGACAATGGGGATGGTGGCTGTGGAGCCAGTCACAACGCAGCAGGTGCAGCAAGTGACCACCCAGCTGGGGCAGCTGGACCACGCTGTGAAGAACCACACTGGCATGCTGCAGTATTTGGAGACAAATGCGCAGCCAAGCTGGGCAAGCAGCGTCTGCAGCCAATGCAGCAGCTCTGGCGACCCAACAGGCTTGCCAGCGGGCTGTTGCAGAAGCAGCAATGACCGCTCACCGCCTGGCAAAGTCTGAAGACATGGAGGGCCAGGTGGAAAAGCTTGCGC